CCCTGAACATTTGTTCCCCACCCCACACCTTACACCCCCACCTTGACCAAGCAAGAGAGCAGAGATGAGGTCTGACCCATCCATGTCCCTGGAGCCAGTCATGGCTGGACACAGGCCGGATCCCAGAAAATCTGTGTGAGTTTTGCTTTTTTTCAGAACTGACAGGGCCCTCTAGAGATGGAGAAACTGATGCCTAGGGGTCAGAGTCATGAGATAAAGTCAGGACACAATGTAGTCTGTGCTGGAATGGGGTGGCTGGAGCCAAGATCTACTCTTGAATCCATTTTTATAGATTCTCTAGAGATCTTGCTTTGACAAAGCTGCATCGAGTGTCCAGGAGTGGGCGAAAGGAGCTTTGAATGTTGCAGTTTTGCCTGAGAGACCATACAGGCATCAGTAAAACCCCGGGTGGGCATGAAGGGGCACATTTATTGCCGTTCTGGCAGGCCTCGATGAGCCCTGAATCCATAACTACATCATGCATCGTCTCTTCTATTTCTGCTGAGCGTGAGGCAGAGAGAATGTACTGAGCTTTGGTTTTGAAAATAGGGTCTCTATTCCTGCCTAAGATGAGGCTGGCACATGGCCCTGTGATGGCGTTGGGGAACCAGAGGCACCTGCTGAGGGAGAGCCCTAACCTAGGCCTGCCGCCTGCTCCCTTACTGTGTTAAGTCCATAAAGGGGAGATAACAGTACATGTCTCATGAATGAATTCTTAGCGAGTGAATGGGCTCATCTGCCAGTAGCCAATAGAGACCAGTTGTGGGGGGTGGGGTGGGCTTTGTGCATCTTTCACTCCCCCCTCATGCCAATGGGTCACCTAGGCCTGTCTGTCTAATCTCTGGCGTCTCTAAACTCCACCCTGGTTTCCATCGCCACCATTCTGAAGCTTTTGTCCTTTCTCCCTGGACTGTTACAACAGCCTCTTAAATGGAATGCATGCTTCCGGTCTGGCCCTCCAACCCTTCCTCCTCTCCACAGCCTGGGAGTTCTTCCTAAAGCACAATCTGACCTGTGTCACCTGTGCTTAGAAGCTCTCTATGCTCCTTCTTCCCCACAGGATCCTGAGAAATTCTTATGCTTGCTAAAAGTTGAGAACTATCACCTTAGGCAATTTCATTGTATGCCTTTGAGATTCAAACAGCTTTGGGCCCAAATCCTGATTCCACTGATTATCAGCTCTTTGGTTCTGTTTACCCACCTGTAAAATGGGGATATTGTAAGGCATAAATGGAACAAGGTTTATGATGAGCTTGGGTCAGTGCCTGGCCAGCAGGAGCAGCAGTAGTTGTATTTATCCCCACTTTACAGATGAAGAAACAAGTTCAGTGAGCTTAAGTTGCTTGCCCGAGGCCCCACAGCCTGTTAGTGATGAGCTAGGACTGGAGCCTGTTTGTGTATACCTGGTAAGGAGGGGAAGGAGGGATGCCTCAGGACACTAACCTGGCCCCTTGGGACATCCGTGTGTACCTAGGTGCGTGCAAGGGCTGCAGCAGGGGCTGTTTGTGTGGCAGCAGAAGGTGCCTTCCGAGTTTGACTTGGCCTATGCCGACTTCCTGTCCCTGGACATCAGCATGCTGCGGCTCTTTGAGACCTTCCTGGAGAAGACGCCGCAGCTGGCGCTGGTGCTGGCCATCGTGCTACAGAGTGGCCGGGCCGAGTACTACCAGTGTGAGTAGTAGTACTACAGTGGCCAGCCCTTCTTTTGGCTGGGGAGAGTTTCCCACAAGTGCTTTCCTGGAAATGCTTTTGTAAGGGCTTCTTAGAAAATAGGAGGCTATCCTTTAGTCAGGCAGGTCCGGGTTCAAATCCAAAGTCAAGTCCAAACTCTAGCTGTATGAATTTGGGCAAATGACTCAACCTCTCTGAGTGTCAGTTTGTTTTCATTTGTAAAATGGACATAATAAATGATCCTACCTCATAGGATTGATAAAAAGTATAAATGAGGTGATATATATAAAACCTAGTGCCTGGTATGTAATAAATCTTAAATGTAATTTTTGTTATCTTGAACAAAACAGGTAAAGTGTATGGGGTACCTGCCACATAATAGGCAACTTGTTAGTCAATAAACTGTTTATTGAGCACCTTCATACACTTAAGTTTTTATTGAGCACCATGGTGCCTGTCCCTGTGCTAGGGACACCGCAGTGAACAAGAAGGACACAGCCCCTGCTCTGCTGAGGTGATAGACTCTAAAGCAGGTAGTTACAGAAAAGTGTGTCGAGTCATCTGAAGAGGGTGTGGCAGGTAGCCTTATGAGCCATGAGAGAAGTTTGTATCCTGGGGAGCTTTGGGAAGGTTTTCTCCTATTAAAGGGAAGTAATGTGCCCAAGGGCACAGACCAGCTGGTGGCCAGGGCTTCCCCTTCTCCGTCATACTCCTGCACACCTCGAGGTTCCCCTGCTGTAAATGCCCCCACCTCCCAAGGAACCAGTCCCCACTCTGCCATCACTCACTCTATGACCTGGAGAGTCTTGCCCTCTCTGGCCTCAGTTTCCACAGCTGTGCAAGATGGGGTTGGTCTTCAAGGGCCCTTTCAGCTTGCTAATCTGAGTCTGTAGTATTAATTGAGAAAAAACAAAACAGTAATAGCAGCTGTCATGACTAAGTGCCTACTATTAACCGGGCACTGTGTAAAGTGCTTTACTGTCAGTGCTCACATTCCCAGCCCTATAGATTGCTGCTACGTTTATCTCCATTTTACACAAGAGGAAAGAGGCACAGAAAGGTGAAGTGATTTGCCCTGGGACACACAGCACTCACTGGGCACATATTTTTGTTTGTCTCTTTGAGGGCTGTGGGTGTCTAGGACCAGAGCCAAATGCTTCTAGTCCACGGTGGGAACCAGGAAGTGGGATAGGATCTCCACGATAAACTTTTAGTCTTGGGAAATCAAGACCAGGGCCCAGTCTGAGCATGGAGCGGGAGGGGAGTGAGGGATGTTTCATTCATACAGCAGGGCAGTGTCAGCCAGAGGCCTGTTGCCACCCCATTGGGTTTCCAGCTTGTCTTTCTGAGACTAAGAAAGGAGGAACTGAGACTGCTGATTTTCAGATCCAAGAAAGGCTTGGGCTCTTCCAGGAAAGGAAGGGTTTTATAAGATGCTCGGGGTTTGTCCAAGGCCCAAAGGTGCAGATGGGGGTGTATGAGTCACACACCCTCTCATTCTTGAAAAATATCACCATGGTAGCACCTGAAAAGTGAAGCTTTGTGGTGAAAGGGGGACCCTATATTTGAATCCCAGGTCTGTTTTGGGTTGTGTGAACTTTAATATTTAATGTTTTCTAGCTGTAGTTTTCACTTCAACAAATTGAGGGTTTTAATACTCACCTCAGGGTGGTTATGAGGACCCTCAGAACCTGTGAGCTCTGGAGAACACCAGGCAGATTGCCCACAGGGCTCAGCTGTTTTCTCTTCCTCTCCATAGGGGTCAGCATCTGCACGTCCTTCGTGGGTATCTCGTGGGCACTGCTTGATTACCACCGGGCCTTGCGTACCTGCCTCCCCTCCAAGCCTCTCCTGGGGCTGGGCTCCTCCGTGATCTACTTCCTGTGGAACCTGTTGCTGCTGTGGCCCCGAGTCCTGGCTGTGGCCCTGTTCTCAGCCCTCTTCCCCTGCTATGTGGCTCTGCACTTCTTGGGCCTGTGGCTGGTGCTGCTGTTCTGGGTCTGGCTTCAGGGTACCGACTTTATGCCAGATCCCTGCTCTGAGTGGCTGTACCGGGCAACAGTGGCCACCATCCTTTATTTCTCCTGGTTCAATGTGGCTGAGGGTCGCACTCGGGGCCGCGCCACCATCCACCTGGTGTTTCTCCTGAGTGACAGTGTCCTCATGGTGGTCACCTGGGTGACTCACGGTGCCTGGCTGCCCAGTGGGGTCCTGCTCCAGATGTTGCTGCCTGTGGGCAGCGTCAGCTTCCTTTTGGGTCTGGTTCTGCGGCTTGTCTACTACCGCTGGCTGCACCCTAGCTGCCCCTGGGAGCCCATGCAGGTGGACGGGGCCCGGAGCTTCCACCCCCTCGAGTGGCATCAGTTGCCTCAGAACCAGCGCATGATCTGCTTGGCTCAGAACTTTTTCCCCAAGGCTAAGGATGAGGCTGTTTTGCCATGGAAGAGTTGAACGGGGTCTTTTGAGGCAGGGTCAGACCCAGCCAGGGGACAGAAGGACAGATGGAATCTGTCGGTAGAATACAGAAGATAAGCTAATTATGCTGCTGTGGGCCTTGGTTCGCTCAACAAGCATTTGATGCCTGATCTTGCCAGGCACTGAAGACGAGTTGAGTAAGAGGCCTGCCTTCAAGGATAAGAACAAGATGAGAAGGGCTGGGTCCGAGAAGGTCAAGGGCCCCAATTATGTATAAAACACTTTGGGAGGAAAGAAGAGGCCTCATTTTTTCTTCCTCCCAACCAGTATAGCTGGTGCCTAGAGAGTCCCAGTGTTGAAATTTTTGATGGGATGCTGTTCCACCCCTTGGTTCCTCTATCCTGGGCTAGAAGGCCCTAAGCCCTCCAGGATGTGTTCTCCAGAATTCTTCCTCTCTTGCCCCACCTCAGTAATTCAATTCATTCACCAAATATTTACTGAGAGGAACACCATTATGTGTCAGGAACATTATTCTATCCTTGGAACCTGGAACAAGATCAGCTACCACCCTTACCCGCTCCAGCTGCTCACCAGGAGCCAGAGATGCCCAAATGGCTGGCGCCTGTCAACCCCTCCAAGGCCTTAGTGCAGCTGGCCCAGCCTCTGTCCCTGCTCTCAAGGGGCCACCTTTCAACCAAGTGCCTTGTGAACCTGTGGTCTGGGCCATGGCTCAGCTCTTTGAGCATTTTTATACTTTAGGCAGTGTACTTTCTACCTCAGAGTTTAGGTGAGAGGAAGAGAAGGTATTTGCATACGTGTCTCTGCAAGTGAGAGACACGTGTGTTGTTTTTGTTGAACAGTATTACTGGGTTATTATTAAAACCTCATGAAATCCTCCAACCTAGTTGTGTCAAGAAATCTATAGAATTCAAAGCCACCTGGAAAGAAGGGGTCAGGGATGCTGGTGCTTTTTAACACACATGGAATAGTAGAGGCAGAATGCATTTCCAGACTTGAATTTCATGGACCAGTAAAATAGCCAACGTGATCACCAACTTAATTTTCACAAAAAAAGGCAGTAAAAACTACCGCCATCTATTATTTTCATCATCTCTAAAAGAAAGGATATAATGACCTCAGGAAAAGGACCATTCTTTTAATTGAATATGTTTAAAAACACAAAAGTATAATTACTTTTTCTCAACTCAGGGAAAATATAGGGTTGAAACCCCAGACAGTGGGTGTAGTGCCCAGTCTATCCTTGGATATAGGTCCTAAGTTTCACTAAAACGAATATTTGCTCCATTTACTTTTCCATATTTCTTCCTGTCATACATGGAGAAGACCAGACTCAGGAGATGCCAAATATGTCAACAGAAGATACAATGTTTTAGGTAATTCCCTATTTTGCCCTGAGAAAATCCAAAAAGATGTTCCTAATTTTTTGCTCATCTATACTCCAGATGAAATTATCAAATGATGGTAAGATGTATGCCATTAATTCCAAACCAGTGTATAGTGTACTACCCAAAAAACTGGAGAAGTTTCATTTGTATATATGTTTACAGGGTCAAGAACTTTAAAAAGATGAGTGATATTACATGCCATTACAACTTTTAACATTCCCATCAATAACTTTTTTAAATGTAAAAAAACTTGTTTTTGAAGAATAAAAACCTCCTGAATTGCCTACCCCCAAAAGTATTTTGAGAAACATGCAGACGTTATTGGGGGAGATGGAGATGTTTATTCTATGGGCTTGAAAAGCAATCAATACTCTAATATTTGTTATGACCAAGTAAGGAAATATATAGCAACTACCAAGTTTGCTTCAGCTATAGTGTGGTCCAAAATATGTCCCTTGCAATGTAAAAAATTAATTCCTAGAATACATGGCAACCCCCTCTTTTCTGGGGTAATTAATTTGGGGGAAATATATCTTGTAGTCTAATGTGTATGGTACTTGGAAGTTAGAACCAAATATTTTGATCTTCATTGGAATAGAAGGCAAAAGAATTCTTGACTTTCCCAGGCCAGTAATGGAGTCAGGCTCAAATCTGAAGAAATTAAATGAGAAAAAGTTGATGTGACACGAAATCAGGCCAGATCAAAGTTTGGTAGGTTTGTCAGTTTTATTGCTTTTATGTTTTAAACTCAGCACAGCCAGGCATTCTCTTTAATAATTTCAGCATATTTGACAACAAATAAAATTTCTTATGCCAGTCCTAACCTTTAAAAAGCAATACAAGTCTATGGCCATGCTACCCTGATCAAGCCCAATCTCATCTGATCTCGGAAGCTAAGCAGGGTCGGGCCTGATTAGTACTTGGATGGGAGACCACCTAGGAAGACCAGGTGCTGTAGGTGTTAAAAGTAAAAAAATAAGGGATTGTAAATTGACAAGTTCCCTGCAATCTGTGAGGTCAACCCAGGGTTGCCTCGCCTAAAAAAAAAAAAAGCAATATATTTTAGAAACAAGAACTTTCCCTTGAAAATTATTTTGAAATATTTATTTTCCTATGTACATTTATTTATACCAAATGGTTCGTTTTTGTGTGTGAAATTAACGACTCAGTTATTGAAAGGGTGCTATCTTTCTAATGAGCTCTTCGGATTTTTTATGAAGCTCTACTTAGGAGCCTACTCAGCTGGGCAACTGGGCTGATCCTATTCAGAAAAGACACAGGAGAAAACTGTATAGAAAATAAAAACTTTATTTTTTTCAAGTTTACAAGATAGTTCCCATTACATATAACATTATGGTCAAGGACTCTACAGCCACAAATGCCCGCAGTCACATAAATATATCCAATCCAATCAATGCCTTTTCCTGCTAAATGAGGCACCTGTAATCCAGAGGGTCAGGTTTTGAGTAGAAGTCGTCCTTAATGGGATGGCTCCTGTCAGTGCATTACGAACTAACCAGTGAGCCTTGCTTGCTAGAACTGTCTGACTCAGAGGAGAGGAAGGGACAGAAAGAGAGCCTGCTGATCGGGGATGGGACAGAACTAGATTTTCCCTATTGTGATTTAGAATATTTTAGAATCTCAGAACTCAGATTTGGCTGGTATAGGATAAATATCTGGGGAGTTTCAACTTTTGGATGAAAAAAGAAACCAATTTAGTGGTAAGAAACAGAAGCTTGCTCTTCTGCAGGAGTGAGGAGAGGAACACCCCAAGCTCACCAGCCCTTGGCTCAGACCACCACACTCCCTGGAAGAGGGAGGATGGAGCTCTGCTGCTCTATTCCTCTCTCTCATGCTTCGGTGGCACTGACACCCATTCAAGGGAGTGACCACCTAGAAGCTCCATATGCTGCAGCTGGAGTTTGCCAATCAGATTCTACTTGAGAGCTTTAAAGCTGAGTTTGTGTAAACTGCGAACAAGCTGTGGCAAAAGTCTCCTGGGACACTAGCTTTGCCTCCCACCCCCAACTTGTAGAGCAGAAGAGAGGATTACCCCCAACCAAATAGTATCTAAATCTGGAGCTGGAATCCATTCTCCTGGACACCACCAGCTGCCCCAGGGGCATTGGACAGGGTGATGCTAAGGCACAGTCAGTTTTACATTCGAAAGTCAAGCTACCTCTTAAACCCAGGACACACCTGACAACTCCAGATCCCCTACCAGAGAAAGTCCTTAACATGAAATGTGCAGACCCATCTTATAGAACCCACAGTGCCCAGCTGGGGGAAGGATTCATCGTGTGGCTAATTTCATGCAGACTCTTTCTCATAAAGATGCCTTCCTCCTTGAGGAAAGGACCCCCAGTGTCCCTGGGCCCTCAGCTTCCAAGAGCTCTTGATGCTACCCACTTGTACTCCTTTCCAGATCTTTGTGATGGGGAGGAAAACATGGTAAAAGAAGAACACTGTGTTCCCTAGACAATTCATTTTGGCAAAGAGGAGCCAGGTCCCATTTTCTGCCTGCCCTCTAAATAGGGCAGTGACAACTAGAGGAGAGCCGAGGCTGCTCTGCTTAGAGAGCTTCTCACCTCTTTTGGCCAATTTCAAGTTCCTTTTGCAAAGGCCTAGGCTGGGCAGTCAGGGCAGGAGGGAAAAGGCCATAGAAAATGGGGTCCAAGTCATATTCTAGAAATAAAGAGCTTCTCTCAAAGAGCAGGGAGAGGGAGGTGTTTGTGTGGACCTGTGTGCATGACGGGGGCACCACTCCACAGCCTCAAGCCTGAAGCACAGCACCAGCAGGAAACCAACTGTTACACTGCCCGTAGGTGGAGGGCTTAGGGCCTGGAAGAAAAGACCCATCCTGGAACTAAGGTCAATTATCAAGCAAGACAGAGCAGCATCTGGGAAACTGTTTAACTCAGACAACGGCAAGGTCGGCCTTAAGACTACATATCCCCACCCTCCCCCATCCCACTAATGAAAACAAGGCCAAAGACAGCCAAGTAATGAGCACTGACTTCAGCTTCTCTCCAAAGACCTCTTTCCTAAAATTGTGAGTCATGTAGCAGTTTCTCAAGCAGTTCTGAAGGAATGTATAAAACAGCCTTTCCCTGCCGAGTGACCTGGCCTTGGGAGGAGTCTGGCTTCTTTGTGCTACATCATCTCTGGAAATGGATATGCACAATCTCTGGGGACAAGCAATTATAGCTGGGGTTGGTCAAGGATGCCTCCTCCTGAGAACCCAGACTTACGGTCTCTCTCAGGTGCTTATATAATCACCCCTCTCTGCAGCCTGGGAGATGAACTTCCTCAGCTCTAGGCAAGTTTATCCTGCCCGGGTTGGTCTTAGAGGGGTGGAGCTTCCACAAACAACAGAGCTGGAAGGCTGTGACTATTGCCTGGCATCCACCAATCTTCCCAGAAGTCCTCTGGTTTCCCATTTCAGAATGATATTTGAGAAGTGGGAGGGGTTACCATGGAAAAATTGGATTTTGATCACAGCACTCCTCTTCAGATACAGACAGAGATATCTGGGTAAATATATGCCCAGAATATCCTTTATAGGGCTTCAAAGGAAGTCAACTACATTGGTAGTTTTGGCCAAAATGCAGTTATGAGCCTGTTCTTAGACGTGATTTGACTTCTTGGGTCCAAAGCCCAGGGGTTGGCTAGAGCAGCTGGGGGCAGCTGTGAGGTACCAAGGGCGGGAAAGGGACAAGAGCCTAGCAATGATGACCAAGAAGGAAGAGAAGCCTGTAGGGGTGAGCATCTGTTGGGAGAAGAGTGCCTCTCTGCAGGAGGAAAAGGTGGACTCTTCCTGTTTCAAGAGCCAAATGAGCGGAAATTCACAAGAAGCCTTAGTCCCTTCCCTCCAGTTTGGAGGTGAGCCGCTAGGACACAGTCTTTGAATAAAAGAGTCAAGCTGAAGTTTAGCATTTACTGTCTAAGAGAAGGAGTTCCGGGGTTGTGCCATTTGTTTAAAGGAGAAGAGGTATTGGAAAGGGGACTAAGGCTTCTAGGATGGGAAATATCAAAGTCTAAAGTTAATCAGTGTCCAGTGCCCCACAGTTCAGCAAACTAGGAGATGGAAGAACAGGAGGGAAACCATCCTAGAGAGCAGACCACTGGAGCAGCTAAAGAGGTGCTATTGTCACAGAGGTATTTTTAGATATTTCAATTACTATTTTTCAAGGAAACTTTACATACCCCTTTCTTGCTAGAAAAAGAAAAGAGGAAAAACCTGCTTCAGAGACCAGACCCTTACCTATAAAAATTACATATACATTCACTGGGAATATGTTCTACAGCTAAGGAGATTACAGAGACTGTCAGAGATGGTATTACAAGTCGGCCACATTTATCCTATCACAAGTTAATAGCAGTTCTCAATCAGGTCATGGACCGAAGAGTGAAACTCTGCCCCAAGAATTTCTTTTTCTTTTTCTTCATTTTTTGAAACAAAACAAACAAAACAAAAAACAGAAGAATTAAAAGCACTGTAGCTGCAGTGAGTCTATTGTTCTCTCAATCCAACTGTCTCCCGCTTCTGCACAAGGATGAACACAGGGCTGCAGCTCACTCTTAGCAAAAATAAGCTTTGTCCCTTGCAGCTGTTGGTTCTGATTGTGTTCTCGCCAGCATTCCATGGACATGGAGAGAGAGGGGAGGGAAGGTGGGAGGAAGGGGTAAGAGAGAAAGGGAGAGGGAGAGAGAGAGAAAGAGAGAGAGAAAGGGAGAGAGAGTGAGTTCCCAGTTGGTTCCGGTCTCCAGCTCCCTTTAGGAGTGAAAAGGAGCTCATGGGGAAGGCTCTTCATTCCAGTTCTTAGAGAAAATCAAGCTCCAAAGCCTGGTGGAGGGACACTAAGTCTCCATGGTTTGTGATCCTCCAAAAAGGCATGTTGTGCTGGAAGAGAGCAGGGAAAGCTGGTTAGCCTAACTTCTTTTGGGAGCTCATATTTACCCAAACTCCTTTCCCCACAGACCTCTTCCCAAGGTATTTGGTAACCCTCTCTACTCCTGCCCACCTCATGGGGTTGTCATAAGGATCAAATAAGTCATATGTGTAAGAACTCTATACCAGGGGTCCCTAACTCCAGGGCTATAGACTGGTACCGGTCCATGGCCTGTTAGGAACTGGGCCACACAGCAGGAGGTGAGCGGCAGGCGAGTGAGCAAAGCTTCATCTGTATTTGCATCTACTCCCCAGCGCTAGCATCACCGTCTCAGCTCCGCCTCAGATCATCAGGCATTAGATTCTCATAGGAGCACTGGTCTCTGGTGCCAAAAAGGTTGGAGACCACTGTTGTACACTACAGAACACTTTACAAACCTGAGAGCTTTTTATTAGGTTTCAGTAGTAACTCTGTGCTTTTATGAGAGATATATTTATTCTAGCTACTATATAGGGTCTTCAGGATCAAAATATTCACATAAGAAATTAGTATTAATATTACATTACATTTTCTTAGAGATGGTCATCAATTTCCTATGAGGTACAGAGCTACAAGGCCCAAATGTTGTCTGTGACCAAGATTCAGAACATACCGATCTGGGAAAAAATAACCCCATTATATTATGTGGTCAGAATTACATCCAGAATACTGCGTGCTATTCTAAAAGCCTTTTAAAGAAGGGCTTTGACAAATGCAAGTGCTGGAAATCATGTTCCATGAAGTTGAAGGAGATTAGCTTTACTGACTGTCTCATTCAAAATGGTTACAAGTTACCCAGAATACTGATGTCCTAGAACAGTTCTTCTGGCATGTAGCTAGCTCAGTGTTTTTTCAACCTGCTCCTTACACATAATGTTTAAAAGGCTTTTAATATACAGAAGAGGAAGCAGACGTGTTATGTTGTGCTCAGGAGTGCCAGACTAAGACTGATGTAAAAGTGAGAGAGATGAATTTAAGTTGAGAGGAAGGTGGAACATCCTAACAGTGTGGATGACCCCACAGTAGAATGGGATACCTGGGAAGCAGCCTCCTTATCCCAACTTGGATATGTTTAAACAAGGACTAGAAAGTCTTCTGCCAAAGTCTGCAGAAAAGAGCCCTCGCAGGGTGGAAGCTGAACTGGATAGAGCTCTAAGGCATTTTCCAATGGGTAGATTCTATGGTAGATGATTACAGGCATCAGCTTAGAGACACCAGCTCTGCTAATGACTTGAGTTGTTCTTTATCTCCTCAATCCCTTCTTCAGACCTAGAAGCATTGATACCTATATCTACTAGTATCTTTCCCAGAGAGCAACAAGCACTTTAGAATCAAAGCTCCAAAGATAACACATGGAAGAAAATAAAGGTCCTTTAATTGCTACTTAAAGTGGCACATAAAAACATAATGAGATAATATTGCCCACTGATTACCACTAATCTCATAGTTCATTAATAGTTGCTGAAGGTTTGTATATTAATTGAATGAAGAAAATTAGGACAGAGGTTCTAGTTGGCAATCCACTGCCTCAAGTATAAGAAACAGAGCTACAAGAAGAAAACTGGGGTAGAAGGAAAGAACATCTATAGATCCATTTATAAGATGAAGAGACTCAAGATGAGTAAATTGTCCAAAGTCACACAGCTAATAACTGAGGTTCGAACCTGTGTGATTTTAGATTCCATGGCCAAGGCTCTTTCATCTGTTTCTTATATTAAGAAGGGAAGACCTGAAGCTGGGATTTGCATAGTGAGGAGGTAAACATCAGAATAATTTTTCCAGGGCTCAGAAGCAGGAAGGACTTTCTCTAAACAACTCCCCACTGATTGTAATGTCTTTTGAGAATCTGAAGCCTGGAAAAATCAGGGTGATTTGCCTTTTTGTAGCCAAGTCTCAGGCTCTTAAAAAGGCACTGCCCACAGCTGAACTGCAATGCAACTGCTGGAGAGGCGTCAATCCCTCCCCGAGAGAGCTCTGGAGCTGGATCTCCTTCGGAGATGAAGGAAGGAGACTAGACCTGTGCCTCCATCCCCACAAGCTGTCTCTGGGAAGGTGATGTAACCTCGGGCAAGGCAGCTTCTGCTGAGGGCAATTCTGGGAGAGGGACTGTGAGCCATCAGTAGCCGAGAGCAGGGGCAGCTAAGGAAATGAGTGCCTCAGTCCCGCTGGGGGTCTGGGCAGCACACCACAGCATCCACTACAGAGCATAAATTCTCTAATCAGTCTTCCCAAAACATGACTTCACTCAGCTAAGACACTGATAACATCTTAGCAAACAATGAGTTAATATTTTATGCTTCAGCTTTTCTGAGTTGTCATTTAAATAGACAATATAGAAGTCTGATGTACTCTGTGAAAACTGAGAAGCCTAACCAAAACAAACAAACAAACAAACAAAAAGCTTCTGAATTAAGGCCACTACCTCCCAGTAGATAGAAGATTCAAGGACGTACGCTGAAGGTCAGGTTCAGATTTTTCTTAGAATTTTTTTTTTTCTTTTCAAAGCACATACAAATGACAACTTTAGTCCCTGAAATTCCACTCTACATAGTCCGCAAATATGGCTTCAAAAATTTCAGCCTGCAAAATGAGGAGGCACTCCTAGGATTCTAAACTTTATTCAGTTAAAATAGCAGGTAGCCACTAAAGACATACAGTCAGCAGTATATAACAGAAGAGTAGAAAATTAACTGCACTACCATCATGAAGGTTAAGACCTGTCAAAAATACACCACAAAGAGTCATGAAGCTGGTGAAATGAAATTTCTTTATCAATGTTTTGTTCCTTAATTTCTTCTACAGATTTCAAGAGTTGGACAAATTCTGCTGTTTATCCTGAGGTTTTTTTTTTCTTTAACAGTTATCTATCATTCTCTTCTGAATTCTTAGGGCACCCTTTAGGATTTTCAAACAAAATTCCATTTATTAGATATCAGAACATACATGACAAACTTTATATTCTGTACTGACACACCTAAGATTCTTCACTTTTGGTGCTTTTTAGTATCTATCTGGCGCTTTCTCAACTTCTCCAGATACACTGGAATGACTTAATTGGAATGACTTAATGAATCCTGGCTAGCTGGTTAAAGGGGATATACTTCACTTTTTCTTCATCTTCAGAAATGCGTTGTGTCATTTCAGTCTGCAAAAGATGATCTTTTTCATTGATGTAGTCATCATTAATTCCAATTGTCAGCTCTTCTCAGCACATTCTTGGCCAACCTGTTATGTCACATCTACCTGCTATGCTCCAACCAGGCTTCCCGCCTCCCTCTCCCTCTCAGGTGCTCATTTCCATAAGCCAGAGTGCATAAGTAATAGCTTCAAAATACATTCTAAGCACATTCATTCAAATCTAATTCTCTAAGAGAGAAGAAATATGTCTCCAAAGAAGCAACATAATTATGGCTAAAGACTATCCTGATAATCTATATTACAAATTATTATTTTAATTTCACATTTCTCAAATCATTTATTAGGTTGAACATTTCTGATGTTTATTGGTCATCTGGGGGGGTCTTCCTGGCCATTGTCTTTGCCCATTTTTCTACTGGAAATGTTATTTTTCTTCCTATTGATTTGTACATGATCTTTATCCATTAGAGACATTAATCTATTTCTCCCCTAAGTGTGATTTATTTTTAAATTAAAAAGTAGAGAAAAATCATAACTGATGTACCCAAATTACTTCAAATTCAACTTTTGCAACTGAGCTCAACATTCTTTTATTACAAACTGCAATCTTTTTAATATGTTCATAAATCTATACATATCACTCTTCTAATCTCCAAAGCTACAATCTTCTAAATTATCTATAACTCTTCTCTCTACAAAATTCCTTATATCCCAATCTATTAGGAGATTCTGTGATTTCTTTCTTTAAAATAAATTCCTGTCATCCCCCATGTCTGTTTTTTTCCCCCAGTCTTAAGTAAACTCCTCCTCAATCTTCGATCATAGTGATGCTATTGAATTCATTTCCTTGTCTCATAATGAAAAAAAATTAATTTTTACCTCAAAAGATACTTGTATAAGACTGACATCAGGCAAGGGAATACGAGCTGTCTGAATTCCAAAGAAAATGTAGGTTTGATATGTTTTTAAACATGTGAAAGAAACCTAATGATAGTATCACTTAAAAAATGTAGACATATAGGCCAAAAAAAGGATCTATAGGCATTGAATAATAAAATCAAAGAATTTTCAAACAAGTTGAGATTGTGTGATCAAAACTATTCATTTTACATGTGAAAATACAGGAACCCAGAGAGACTGAGTAATATGTTCAAAGGATATATCTAATAATTATATATTTATATACTTATAAATTATGTATATTATAAAATAGATAAGCTAAGAAATAAGTAAACATTTAATTTTTTAATTAATGGTACAAAAATCCTTTTTGCTTTTACGAGTAATATTTTTGGTGAGTGTTAAGTGAATATGCATAATTATTTTTTAAAATCTCAGATTATTACTCTTTGATAAAGCAATCTAAAGTTCAGCTTATTTTGATAATTGGTTATTAAAAAAAAGATAACACAACGATTGGTAATTTCCAGTACTCATTTTTTCAATTCCATCCACTTATTCAAAAGATGTTTTTGAAAATCTGTTAGTAAATTTCTGCCTTTCCTATTGTCAATTAACTGTCCTTGACAAGGAATTGGCAGGTGCTATACTTTCAAATTTAAAAAGAGTGTTTGAATCTTACTGAAATGCTTCATTTTAAAGTGATGATTTTAAAATAAGTTAGAAAAATCTGTCTCCAGTTATGAATATATAAGAATTTCTATAGATGATATATTTATAAAATTAAAAATTAAATAAAGTTAAATGATAATTTCTACCCTACCCTACCCCCCCCACCAGAAAAAGAAGGTACTGTCCTCTAAGATGAAGATTGAAGATGGGGGCCCCCTGAAGCAGGGCTCAAATTGTTTAAATTTTTTTAGTGGCAGCAAGGAGGGGGAAGGAGAAAATTTAATAACAGGAAAAACTCCATCTGTGGGGAAAAAATGACCTTTCTTTTTCTTAAAGAAAAATGAGAGAGGAAGAGAAGGGAAAACATTGTAAATACACAACAGATTGCTAAGATTTCAGAGTTTTACCATTTTCCTAATTGCTCAATGCGTTCCCACACAGACTATTTTCTTTATCACAGTTACCTGTTTGGCTGCAATTTCTTCATCTCGTCCATCTCCAATCACTACATATGTGACTTTCTTTCCAAACCTTGACACAATTCTCTCGAAGCAGCTCTCTTTACCTGATGAGAAAAAGAAATTTCCTATTAGGACATTGTTATCTTTTCTTCAGCGCCAAAGAAAAGGGCTGTTCACTTGCCTGTGCTTAAGACAAAACAAGTGGCAGCCCCTGTAGTTTGCTTGGTGTGGAGTAGGGGTGGCAGCTTAGAGCTTTAGTAGGCCTTCTGGATCTATAAATGGGAAGCTAAGTGGTCCAGGCAGTGCAAGAACTGTGTACACCACCTCCCTTTCCACATCTCCTGTACTTTACAGCTTACAAAGCAGTTTTCAAGTTATTTCTTATTTAATTCCCAAAATAATCCAGTGAGATGGGTATCACCCCTTATTTTAAATTGAAAATGGGACTCAAAGGATTAGAGACTTGACCCAGATCACATACGAGCTTATAGCTAGACTTTGGGTTCCTGACTCCAAGTCTAGGCTCTGGCACTGTACATGATGAAAGGATATTTCTGAGGGGAAACTGTTTTCAAATATAGGAAAAAGAAGTGGAAGCATAAGTCCCTGATTTGTTAATAACAAGTAATAGGCAAACACTCACTTTCCTCTAATTCATTTCCAGAAACAGTTCTAGCCATGGGGCTTATGTCTTTCAGTGGGGGAGGAGCCCCAGAATACTAATATATATGGCAGCAACATTTGTCATATCTGGAATTTCCTCACTATTATACTTTCTAATTGCAACTGAGATACTGTATCACTGATCTTGGCCTTGGGAAATGGGTGATCTAAATCCACTGCAGACAGTTTTTAGACACATGGCAATATATGAAAATTCAACTCTCATCTGGAACCAACACCTAAAACATGCACAGACGATACTACTGTGGGAAAGCCTTTATTTGCATAAATAAATAAAAAGGAAATTATTTCCCTTGCTTTTCCATCGCCATCTTTTATACTTTATTTCCTGGCTTCTGCCACCTTCTTTAGTTAAGCAAAGTCCTAACTCTGTTTCCTTCTTCATCTTGCTTCGCTAACCTTCTCATCCTTTCTTTTTGCCAGATCCAGTGACTTAACACCAGGGTTCCTGTGTAAATAGAAACGTGCCTCTTTCTTAAGGCACTTGGCTGCCATCTGCTGGGAAATTGTTGTAATAAATGTACAAATAAACAAATCTAAGATAACCACATCGCAACTGACAAGAATCTATATACCCATACCCAGAAATCCTGCTTGGTACATTTGGGTAACTGCAAGTCTTTGACATCCCTAGGTCAAGTGGCACCTCAAACCAAACCTGGATCAGACAACAGTTCACTCTGGGCTTCAGTCTCTTTTTAGTACAGGCTTGGCTTAGGTACACTGAGGTCCCTTTCAGTGCTAACATTTTCCAATAACATTGCCATGCCTTACATTCATATCAGGCATTCAATTGATGTTTGCTGAGTAAATCTATATTAAAATCACAACTGAATCAATGGATGACTGTAAGTCCATGTCTTATGCCGAAATTCCAACATTAAATAATTCTATTAATAACGAATTCTTATTATGTCCAAAGTGTTGAGTTCTTTGTCTAATTGCATTCCAACCATTACATCCTTACAACCTAAGCCAACCTCTGCTTGACCCACAGTATAATTTACGATCTGTCTATAAAAAATTTTTAAGTCAAGATTTTAGACTTTTCTCCTAAGACCCACCAAAGACTCATATTTAGAGGCCAGGGATACAGAGATATTTTCATTGTCCTGGCATGCAATGATCAAGGATGAAATACATTTAGGTATGTTTCTTCTAAAAGTATTAAGAGACTGAGAGAAGTACTAACAGCTCAAAGTAAAGAAGCTGCTAAATGAAAAAATGACTCCAATACAGTTGGCAAATATACTTCTTCCATTTTGCACTCTCGAAATGACCCTGGAGATGAGCTCTCCTGTTCAGGAGGATAAAGCCAATGACTAGTCAGCTTACCGAGTGTCAAGCAACTAAAGCTGTAATTGCAAGACCAACCAAGCCTTTGGAGCATATTAGGTTCCCAGGTTTCTCTGACAGGTATCAAAAACACTCCTGACATTTTCAGTAATGATTCTGAGAATTCTCTTTCATGTTCAAGACTGCAGAGTGGCCATTAAGAGAACTACAATTGAAGTCATTTTGGGGGAAGTGAACAAGCAGTTCCTTTCCTTGCTCTAATTTCACGATGCTGTGAAGGAAAAACTTTAAGCCTCTCATTGTGGTTACCAGGGTGCCAGGTACCACTACAGCTTTGTGAATTAGCTCTGGATGAAAAGAGGCCAAGGAAAATCACCAAATAAGCACAATTACTGTCAGAGGGAATAAAATCATTTCCATTACTTTGATAAGCCTTTGGGCACCAGGACTCAGTAAAAGAAGAACTACAGAAAATCTACCTTACAGGTGTAGTAGGCTTAGTGATTGCTCTGGGTTCTTAGGAAACGCACAGTAAAGTAGTGGCAACAGTAGCAAAATCTGAAGGGAGGTGGGTTTCAGATAAATCCTTCCCCACTCCATATCCCTTGTAAATAAAATAATTCAACATACAAAAATAAAAATAAATGCCTATATACCTATGACCAACCCATCTGTCAAATCTTAACACTTTATGGTTTAGATAAAAAAAATATAAAAATGAGATATTACAGATTTATGTGGTTTCTTATGTATCCCTACCGAATGTCATTCTCCCCTTTCTCTCTGTGAGTAGTATATATCCATAAACGATGTATGATATTGTTGTGAATAATTTTTACCTTTATATTAATGTTATGTACTGTGCATATCTAACTGCAACGTGTTTTTGTGTTCAACAATGTTTTGCATATTAACCCTTATGGATATATGCAGTTTTAGTTCATTTGCTTTTAACTGCTATATAGTATTGCATTGTTTGAATATATCTATTTATCCATTTCTGTGCAGTGACAGGTTTGCAGGCTATTTCCTATTATGAACAAGGCTGCATCAAAAAAAAGAAGCCTTACGCATGTCTCCTTGTACACATGAGAATTACTCAAGGTCAGGGGATGGCAAACTTTCTGTAAAATGTCAGATAGTAGATATTTCAGGCTTTGCAGGTCAATTCTCAGTTGCAATTCTTCAATTCTGCTACTGTAGTGTGAAAGTCACTATGGAAATGATTTGGGCAGGCCTACGTTTCAATAAAACTTTACAAAAAAAGGCAGTGGGCAGAATTTGGAATGTGGGTTATAGTCTGCACACTAAAGTATACACATCTAAAAGTGGAATTGCTTGATTATTGGGTTATTGCACATCTCAAACTTTACTAGACATTGACAAGTGTTCTTCAAAAAGGGTTATATCTATTTTCAATTCCATCTATAGAATAAGTGTCCCCATTTCTTTGGCAAAGTTTGGCAATGTCAGACTTAAATCTTTATCAATCTGGTAAGTGGGAAATGGATCACATGTTAATTTAAATTTCCTTAATTTGCAGATCCTTAATTGGTGAAGTTAAGAAACTGTTCATACATTTACTGACAATTTAGGTTTCCTTTTCTGAAAACTGGCTTTTCCAAGGTTTCTGCCTACTTTTCTATTACGTTGTTTGTTACTTATTGATTTGCAAGAGTTCTTACAGATTCTGTATATTAATTAATAAGTAAATGTGTTGCAAATATCTTCTCCCCAGTCTGTGGCTTGTCTTATCACTTTATGTCATCTTTCATTGAATATAAAATTAAAAGCTTCATGCAATCCGAATAATACATTTTTTAAAAATAATTTTAATTTTTGGTTCTTTTAAATGAGATCCTTCTCTACTGATACTATTCTATATTTTCTTCTAAAAATTAAAGTTTTGCATTTCATGTCAAGTGTTTTATTTACCTGGAACTTATTTTTGCAAGTAGAGTTTGCAAATACAATTTTGCTTTTTCCCCATATGGATAACCTAATGATCCTAGCACTAGAAGGTAAGATCCATAAGGGCAGAAGATTTTGTTACTGTTATATTCCCTGGTGCTTTGGCAAGGCTTGACACATAGGCACCATTATCATCTTTCCTCATTTTGTGGAACCTTTCCTTGTGCATATAAACTTGCTATAATTTCTCTTATGTTCAAAAATCCTTGAGTCCATATTCTACTCCAGTTCCTACCTCATTTCTTCACTCTTCTATAATGAAAAGCTCCTTTCTTTTCATTCACTCTTAAACCTATTCTGATTAGGGTTTCATCCCCATTACATCACTCAAACTGCATGTCAAAGTTATTAATGATCTCCATGTAGCTAAAAACAACCTTTAATTTTCAGGTCTTACTTGACTCATCAGCAACATCTCATAGAGTTGATCACTCTCCCTTTGTCTTTCACGACACCATTCTTTCTTGTTTTCTTTCTAACTTATATGCCTCTCCTTCTGACACTTTTGCTAGTTCTACCTGTGAATGAAAAGAGGGCCGCATACTAAATCTGACAAGTTCAGGGGAGGCCCTGGATCATGTACCTTACAAACTGAGAGACCAAAGTAATCATATAAGGTGGTCTGAATGTAAAAATTCCTAACTAAAAGTGGGTCATGGTAGGTAGTCACATGTTAGGCCTATAGCTTCCTTGACAAACGTCAATCTTTACCTTTAAAATTATCTGTTGTCTTTTACATCTAAGATAATATACCTTTGAAATGTCAGAGTAATCTTTTGCAGACCCCTTGAAGGCACAACCACCAGTACCAGAGCACGAGACCACATTGTTATCTTGTTGTCCACATACCATCTCTATGTGTTGTAAATGTTAACTATTCTGTACCCACCAATGTAAAAGAAGTTGTCTCTCCATTTTGCTTTTTATCCAATCTCAGAGATTTCTCCCTACTTTGCTTTCTCCTACACCTCCCTAATCTACCAACAATGAATTTCATGTAATGTCCCCCTTCTGTCTCCTCGTTTGATTCTAATGTATAAAATAAGCTGCAAAGTGACATTCTCCAGGGCGTTTTCTGAATCCATTGAGATTTTGCCTCCTGGAAATTGTTATCGGTTTGGCTCAAATAACCTTTTATAAGACTTTCGTTAGGCTGGACTTTTTCTTATACTTTCATTGACATACCTCAAGATCCAAACATTTAAATATTAGAGGGCCTCAGGGCCTATTTCTTAGACTTCTATTCTTCTCTGTCTGTACTCATTCCTATGATCTCATCTAGTCTTAAATAACCACATGTACATGAAGAACTCAATTATGTATCTCCAGCCAGGAGCTCTCCCTTGACTTCCAGAATCAGATAGCCAATGGCCTACTTAACATCTCTACTTGAATGTCTAATAATTATTTCAAATTTAATGTCCAAAACTAAACTCCCAATCTTTGTACCATACCCTTCTCCATCTCAGTAAATGACATCTTCATCCTTTCAATTGCTTAGGCCAAAATTCTTAGAGTCATCTTTAACTTCTTTTTCTTTCATACCTCATGTCCAAACTATCAGCAAATCCTGTCAGCTCTGCCTTCATAATATATCCAGTAACTGACTACTTCTCAGCCTCCATTGCTACTCCTTGGTTCAAGCTACCCATGACCTCATGCAGGATTATTACAATAATCCCCTAACTTGACTCGCAGCTCTCCTCAAGATGTTATGTAGCAGCCAGATTGATCTGTTTAATGTGTAAGTCAGATCATGTCACTCTTCTGCTCAAAACCTGACAATAGCATTTCATCAGAACCAAAGCTAAAGTCTTTAAATTAATCTTTAAGGCCCTGCAGGATCTCCCCGCTCTCTCCTTTAACTTCGTGACTTAAATTTCCTAACATTCTTCCTCCCTTGCTCTTCCTTGAACATGCCTTCAACCTTTTCCACTTGCTATTCCCTCTCCATGGCATGCTCTTTCCCCAGATATATGCTAATGGCTAATGTCCTCACCTCCTTTAGGTCTTTGCTTAAAATAAAACTTTTCATTGAGATCTTCCTTAAGTATTCTATTTAAAACAGGACCTTCTCTCCCCATTTATCCATAGAACTTATCATCATTTGACACAGTTTGTTTTACTTACTTACTTGCTTATTGATTGTTCTCTTCCACTAAAGACAAGGATTTTTATCTTTTTTGACTACTGCTATATCTCCAGTACCTAAAACATGCCTTGCACATAAAAGGTGAATCAGTAAATATTTGGCGAATGAATGAAGAAAAATAAATGTTAATTGGTGGGTTTATAACCTCCACAGATCTTGGAGCATAAAAAAAATTTTAATGAAGAAATCTGCTCAATAGGAAAGTAGTAGATTAAAAAATAAATGACCACAGCTCACCTTCAAACTCCAGGACTCTTCTTTGCTACAATGGAGAAGTGTGAAACTATAAGCATAGACTAAAGGGTCTGAAGGGGTAAAGAGACGGTTGTCATAATCCTCCTTCTGTGGACCATGTATAAGGATTAGAGTGAGACATTCTGCTGTCTTCTCAGTGGAACAATCTGGTTTTGTATAAACCTGGTGCCAATTAATTAATTCAGCAGCAAATATTTACTGAGTACCTACTATTTCATACAGAGGTCTACCTTGGAGATATTGTAGGTTCAGTTCCAGACCACCACAATAAAGCAAGTATTGTAATAAAACAAGCTGTATGGTTTTTGCTGGTGGAGGGTCTTGCCTTCAGTTTGTAAAAAGTACAACATCTGTGAAGTACAATAAAATGAGGTGTGCCTGTACCTGGTACTGAATACATTTTTTAGGGTTTAAAAGTACCTTCATACACACAGTTTCATTTAATTTTCACAACCTCTCTGGTAGTTTCTCATTTTCACTTACCTTATATAAGTAAAAAATACAGTACTTGTCTTTTTGTGACAAATACTTCACTTAGCATAATGTCTTTAAGGTTTGTACATGTGGTATTATATGACAAGATTTCCTTTTATGGCTGAATAATATCCCACTGTACGTATATGTCATTTTGTTTACTCATTTGATGGACATTTGAGCTGCTTCCACCTCTTGGCTTTGTGAATAATGCTATTATGACTACAGTGTGCAAATATTTCTTTGAGAAATTGCTTTTAATTCTTTTGAATATATACCCAGAAATGGGATTGCTGGATCATATGGTAATTCTAGTTTTACTTTTTTGAAGAACTGCTATACTGTTTCCCATAGTAGTTGTACCATTTTATAATCACATCGAAAGTGCACAAGGGTTCCAGTTTCTCCACATCCTCGCCAACACTTGTTATCTTCTGGTTTTTGATAGCAGCCATCTTAATGGGTGTGAGGGGTTTAACCATTTTTAAATATATAGCGTAGTCCTTGATTTTTAATCTAGTGCTTTTTCTATTATGCTATACTGTAGCACTCTCTCTGTGAAAAAGAAATCTGAAATGAGATAAAAGCAGATTTCTAAACTAGGTATTATGTTCTTTCAAGTGTTATAAAAGAAAAGAACATGATAAGTTTTAAAAGTCCAACAGATCTGGATTTGAATCCTGTTTATGTTACTTACTAGTTGTGAAGCCTTGAGCAAGCTATATAACTGTTAAGCCTGAGCTGCCTCATCAGTAATATCAGGAGAAGACAGCTGTAAGGATTACAGACACATATAAAGTGTCTAACAGAGGGTCTGGTACATAATAAGTGCATCGTAAGCAAGAAACATTATTGTAAGGCCAGTGACAAGAAACAGAAGAGAAACCATACCAATTTTGGTAGCACTATAGATGTTTTCAATAGGAAATATTTCTCCAAGCCCATATAGGAGAACCTTAGCCAGAGCTGGAACCAGCTGGGTTGTAGTGATCAGAACATTCACACAATTCTTTCTAGATAGGAGAAAGAAGGAAAAGAAAAGAAAAAGTGAAACCAAATTAACCCAAGAGCAAGAATTCACATGGATCTTCTCTTTAGCATCTAATTATTAAAAATTAACCTCAAGGGGCCTGGTATGGTATTCGTTCAGTTATTGCTCTAATTACCTCAAGTTTATTTACTTTCCATATTAAAAGGACAGAGATTCTTTAGTGAGCATAGAGCAGCAACTTGATTCTTGCCTCATTTCCCTTCTAACCATTCTAGCTCACTGCACTTAACAATTACCCCAACCCCATGGTGGTAATTGATACCACTCTCTAGAAACAAATGACAAAGACTTTCACAGTTACAGTGCTATTTCATCTGAATGCAACTCAATCCTTAAATGAGATGATTTAAGTCCTCTCTACTCTTCACATAATAGTAACACAGATTCCATAATACAAATTAATTTCACATTCCTATATAAACTTTACCAAATAACCTTGGTGTCGGTTTTATTGTTTGCTCTATTAGGCTGTAGATCTGGAATTCCTGCTTTGAGGAAGGAAGTAATAAAGGTATTGGTACAAATATGACTGTTTTTATTTCCCATTATAAGCGTCAAGTTGAAATCTCTTTAATTTGCTTAACGTATCCTTTTCTTTTGAATCCTGCCTTCCCGAGTAGGTTTTGGTACATTTTCTTTGGAGCTTCCTGTACTTAGGATATTTGAGATATGTCTCCTATATGTATTCTTTAATGTCACCAGGTCCATCTCCTGGGCTGGACATTATGGGTTACTGAGTTTTAATTTCGTGAGCAAAAAGTAAGAGGAAATAAAAAGGCTTTCACATACAAATATTCTCTTAAAACTCTAAGGTGTAATGTTAGTGTAAAATGACCTTGCCTCCCACCTAACCTAAATACTTTCTTGCTTCATTTAAACTCCTCTCACCCCTATCTCAAACCCTATTTTAGCAAGTGGCTTGTCCTGGACTAGTATAGAAAAAGAGTGTATATCTGAGAGGATGAGACCTAAAAAACCATTTCCATACCTGGACTGGATAAGAAGTAAGGACTTTAATGCAGTTCCTAACCAGGAATCTGTTAGAACTTCAATTTCTGCTCTTAGTCTCTGCAGTGCTTCCTTTCTCTGGGGACTGAGGAGGCCTTTGGGAATAAAAGCAGACACATTTATCATTTGATAACCTATCCTTGCTGACACTGAAGAAGCAACTCCTGAATTTGATTTAGAAATAGTGAGTCACTGAAATACTCTACTGAGCTAATATATTTCTCTTCTTTGTAAAACCCCCCCGAGTAACCTACTAAAAATGTCCTTTTGACTTTCTTCATCGGAATGTTTTGCTAGGGGGGCACGACCACTACCACACGCCGCTCCCACGGTGACTGTGCTTTCACCCCTTTCAGAACATAGCAACCTGAGATTTGAGGTTGAATGACTAACTCACATCATTTATTTGTATTGTACTTACTTCTGAAACAACTCCAGCTGATATGAGACTAAAATACTGTTTAAGATCAGACAATTAAGCATAAAACAAAACAGAATTCACCTGATAAGAGCATGTTATCAGACACTTGAGTTATAATATTCAAATAATAAACATGGCCCTGAATTTTCTATAGTGAAGAGAAATCCTAGTCTGTTACCAATACTCCATAAAAAAGAGAGGCCTAGAACAGAGTATAATTTATCTTCAGACTGATAGTTTCATAATTCAAGCCTAGAATTAGATGACTCAATGTTTCTGATAAAACAAACCAATACCTATATGTCACATATGATATACATATAAGAATATATATATCATATACATAATATGATGTGGCACTTTTGTTAATTCATATTTTACAAAATATAGGTGGACATTACTTTTAATATGTTCCCCAGGGTAGGTTCAGGGGATTCTCGGAGAGGGTTATATTACTTTCTTCAGGAAAATAGGTCCAGGCACTCACTGTGCAGAGAAAGAATCAGACACTTAAGTTGTACATGAAAACTAACAAAAGAAAGGCTAATGTCTGAGAGAGGGAAAGCAAAAAAGTCTTGGAGTTATCAAAAGAAAAAGTATTGGTTCTGAATCATGAGAAAAAATAATCAGTAAAAAGGGGAATCTGAAAAAAGTAAATTAAATTCCCAAAGCCCAGATGCCTGTGATCGTTACCTGGTATTGGAAGGTTATAACAGGAATGAACTAAACTGACCTTCGAAGCCTGAGTTTTCCTTCTACACCACACTGTAAGGCAGCATGGTATGGTGGGAGGGTTCTCTTGACCTGGGGTTATATATCTTTAAGTAGTCTATAGAATCCTTGAAACTTCATGCAACATTTTGGTGTATGTAGAAGCTTGAGGGTTCACAGTTTAAAATATTTTCTCATAAGGGTATACCACTAAAAAAACCTGCATGAATGTAAAATGCAAAGGACCAAGAGTTGGGGGGTATGTAGTTTAGTTGCGATATGGTCACTAACTTGCTACGGTAGCTGCTCTCATTACCCTCATGAGGAATGTCAATTTTCTTGAATGCAAAATAAGGGATTTAGATTAGCTCTCTAATGTCTCTTCTAATTTGAACAATCTATGGCTGATAATTAATTTTAAATAACAGAATACTAGGCCTAGTGGCACCTGACATTTGAGATATTTCTGGGCAGAAAGGATTTCAAAGGTCCTTCAAATCACCACACGTGGATACTGCCAACCTATAATCCTGAACCTAGTTTTGCATCCACTACAAACCTAGTCATTATTTCTATTTGACTTGGCCTGATGGTTATATAAATCAGTAAAAAAATATTTGGCAACCTATTGACTAGCATTGACAGTGGTTGAGACTCCAAAACAAAACACACATTATCAAACACAATCTACGGAACACATTTCCTTGAAAAAAAACATTTGTCTAAAAAAAAAAAAAAAATGAGAACTTTGTAAAGTTATGCTAAGAGAAGTCCATGAGAAATGCAGAGCTTCCTCCCTAAAAGGTTTCAATCAAACCTCCATGTTTTTTTACACAGAGTTAAAATGTTATTGTGGCACAAATTCATAAACAATTGCCAGAGAATTCTAAGGTATCCCTGGAAAAGAAAACAGGAATCAGAAGGAAACAGAAAATTAGACTGGTTGTATGTTACACTTACCGCCCACATTGCTTTTATGCTTATCATAGATTTCTCTCACTTTTCGGTAGCGGAAAGCCAGTTTCCTCATCCAGTCCACACCTCCCTGGACACCCACAGAGGAACCATGGCTGCCACCACCTCCTGAGCCACTGAAACCATCTGTTGAGAAACTGTAGTTGCTGCAGAGACAGGATAATGGAAATTAAAATCTATACCGCATGGGGTTTTTGGATGAATGCCACCTGGGATTCTGTCCTATTCCTGGCATCTGACATCAAGGCTAAGGCTTTGAAAATCTTTTCCCTTAATCTCTGCATGTCAGAGTCTTTCACTAGTCTTCTATCTCACCCCTATTACTTCTATCAAAGAATGGATGGAGAGTTTTTTAGGAACAATTCAAGCACCAGCAATCGCCTACAGGTGGGCTTAGGATAGAGCATCTTTTCATTAATGACAGAATATCTTACAGTGAAAAAAAGACTATAAAATTTTTTTATGCACACACACACAATGATTGCAACTATGTAAAAATAAAGATGAATAAATAATGGAAGTAAGTAACCCAAAATAAAATAATAGTAAGATAATGGAGATGTTCTCCTTCACTGATTTGTTGTCTAGTTTATGAGTCACTGTGGTGGCTTTAAAATACGTCCACAAATTCTTTAACACTCTTCTCTTCTAATTCTGCCCCCTTTGGGTATGGACTATATTTGAATGTAAACAGAATGTGGTGGAAGTGACGGTGTTGGACTTCAGAGACTAGGCTTGTCTTCCTCTTTTGGAGTATGTGCTCTGAAAGAAGCCTGCTGTCACGTAACACTCAAGCTGCCCCACGCAGAGGCACGCATAGTAAGCAACTGAGGCCTCCTGTTACGAGCCCCAAGTGAGGTGGGAAGCAGGTCCTCTAGTTCCAATCAAGCCTTCAGAGGATTTCAGCTTCAGCCAATATCTTGATTTCAATATCAGAGACTCTGATACGATGGTAACTATTTATTGTTCTAAGCTACTAAGTTTTGGAGTAATGTGTTACATAGCAATAGATGGTAACTATTTATTGTTCTAAGCTACTAAGTTTTGGAGTAATGTGCTACATAGCAATAGATCACTAATATAAGCATACCCCGGAGATACTGTGGGTTCAGTTCCAGACCACCGCAATAAAGCGAACATCGCAATAAAGCGAGTGGTCCTTTTGCTGGTGGTGGGTCTTGCTTTCAAGTTGTAAAAAAATGCAACATCTGTGGACCACAATAAAGTGAAGCACAATAAAATGAGGTATGCCTGTATAGTTAAACAAGCTGGGAAGAATTAATACCTCCTAAGTTAAGATTTAAAAATGACTGATAGAATTAGAAACAAGTTAGGATTAGAAACAAGTTGGTTCAATCAAAAGTCAAAATAGAATGAAAAAATGAGAAAACAGTCAAAATGAGTTCAATAAGCTTAAGATTCCATATTTAAGAAAATAAAGCTGCCAAGACATAAGAGATAATTATTGGTTAGCCACACGTATATGAGGGGGAAAAAAAAAGCAAAACTAAGTTCAGAGTGGGTCATAAACTGCTTCAGACCTGGCTTTTTCCTTAAAAGGCCAGTAAACTCTCATAAGAATTGTGCTCTCTATGGCTGTGCAATGCACGACTGGACGCTGCTCCTAAAGCGAAACCTTTCCATCCTTCTCTGCACTATAGGATTAGGTCCTTACTAAGTGATATGTCCAGTTCTGCTCTAGATCTGAGAATTCATAGATGAAACAAATTTTATGGTAGACACAGGGAAGAACTTTTTGCCTATGAAAAGAGATAAACGTTAAAAGAAATTAACATGAAAAGATGTGACAGTTTTTTTTTCTAAAAGTCTTTAAATATAAGGTAGGTCAATTTGTGGATTGTTCTTAGCTAAGACTACTGGGCTAGAAGACAGTAGCCAAGAGAGAAATGAGGAGACTGAGCAAACATGTTGCCTCTGAATCCTCCTTGGTTCACTGTGATATAATGTTTAAGACTCACCATCAGGAATAACTGATACTATCAGACCCCCACAACTAGTTTCCGTGGTGAAATTCCTGATGTTTATTTTTATCTAGAACTAAGTCTGAAAGCACACTTCTCTTAACTGAAAATCTGGCCAAAAAGAAACTAGTATGTTCCTTCCTTTGGAATGCTTATTCCTTATCCCATCACTGCTACCCATTCTTCAAGGTCATACTCAAATTCTATTGTGCTGAGAAGGCTGCTCCATTGTTGGCAACCATCAGCTGTTTCATCTTCGTTTTCCTCTAACCTAGACAGTGTCCTGTGCATAACAGGTGTACTGATGTTTAAGACATTGTTTTTATCACCTCAAGTCCTGGCCATTGTCATCAGAAGCCACATCTTCCACATGCACCTGGTCGCACTCCTGTTAAAAGACAAAATCATACACTATTCAATCTAGTGGGTAAAAGTGCTCTTACCACCATGATATATTGTAAAAATACCACAAACAGTGGTGTGTTGATGAAATATCTTCCGTTCTGTCTCTCTTATGTGTGGAAGATCACTCTTACCCTCCTTGCTGTCCAATTTAAGGCCAAATTCACGTCCCACAGCCTTCATGAAATCTTCCTTAATCATCCCAACCCTGTTATCCTCTTATATCAATAGTTCATTTTTCTAACAGCTCATGGGTATAAGCACAAGCTCCCTTTCACTGTTGGGTGTATCTATGTTTTACATTAGGACTAAAGTTCCATTTGCCTGTAAGCCTCTTACAGCATGACTCGTATCTTACATCTCTTTTGTACCCCTCTAGTCTAGTCTAGTGCCCTTATGCAGCATGTACCCAATACATTTTTGCAGATGAAACCGCTAGTAGAGTGTAGTATCAAAACTTGAGAATGACTGAAACAGAAATTTATAGATTCAAACTTGGTACTCAGAAGAGGTTGTCTCAATCAATTTCCTCATGTTCTAAAGGTGAGGTAAAAAGATTTACCCAAGGTCACGTAACTAGTGAGTAACAGAAAGAAACTAGACCAAGGCCACGCTACTGATATAAAATGCTACCCACTGCCTAACTCTAATGGATTCACTCCTCTAACACCACCTAGGGCAGTGCTGTAACGTCCACCTGCATCAGAATCCTCTGGGGAAGTTTTTAAAAAATGTATATTCTTGGGTCCACCCCAGACCTACTTGAATCAGAATTTCTGGGAGTGAAGTCCTAGAATCTTCATTTTTAACAAGGTCCCCAGGTGATTCTTATGCCCCCTAAAGTTGAGAACCACTGACCTGGGGGGCAGGAACACATTCAGGTCAAATTCTTCACAGAACTTTCAGTCCTGAGTGAGGACTATGTCTAGAAAATCATTACAAATACAATTTGGCAATAATTATCGGCACACAGTAGGTTTTCAATAAATGTTTGCTGAATAAAAATTATGTCTTAACTTATCAACATGTGAAGTTGAGGAAAGATTAAAGCATCGTGGAGCTTAGACAAAAGTACTGGATTTGAGAGCCCTATTAATTTAATTTGTGGGAAAATCGTCTGTTGAGTAGAACTAGATTGTATTTTAAAAGGAAAAGGATTACATTACTTCATGTTATAAAATGCTCTTATTTTACTTTAAAATTTTCACTATTTTAAAAACTAGGCAATACATGAGGTATACAGTTTAAAATTCAAAAGGACATGAAGTGACGAATCTGCTCCTTCCCCACTCTGTGTCCCAGCAGTGCCATCCCCTCTCCAGATGGAATATCTGTTACTAGTGTCTTGTGTAGGGTCACTGCTTAACTGAGGCCCAGAATGGGGAGATAATCTTCCTAATTTGAGATTCACACTTAGCTCTTCCAAACCCTAGTTCAGAGTTCTTTCCACTACACATGTTCACCTCAAAGGTGAACACAAATGTCAAAGCCAAAAAAACTGACCAAGAAGCTCTCAGTGTTTCACTGGTCTTCCTTGCACCTAAGTATAAAATGATTCTGGACATCAAGGCTAACAAATACATGGAAAATAAGCATGTATAACATACAATGAGTGAGAACAGCCATTTATAGATCTGACAAATCAAAAGACTATCTTTTATAAGGTAAGACTGGAGAACAGTCAAATGTAATTAAGAATATAAATAACCGAACCCACCTTACATAAATTATTTAATACATATGAATAAATTGGAATGTTGGTTTATACATGTGTTTTGCCTAATGAGTTGGCACTTCCCGTAGAGCTAGATCACTTTCATAACAAAAATCAAATTTTTGAGCCAATAAAATTGAAGGCCAGAACCAAGACTGTGGCAACTGAATTAAGGCACCATTCCTGCAAGACTATATAGGTCTTAAGTAGCTGGCCTCTGCATACCTACCTAGTCTAACCACATTGCCTCTAAATACAATAAACACAGGTTCAGTAAACAGTTATTGAACTAAATGTTTCACTGAAGCACAGAAACAATTTAAAATACTTACCTCTAAGTCATTAAAAAATAGATGTGTATCAGCCACTTCAAAAATCATTTCTTCCATAGTTAAACCTGAGCCAATCACTACTGTTGGGTCCTAGAAGACAATAAGAGAAAATTTTGCTTGACTTGGTACTCATAGCACTGGTTCTGATCTTTAAGTATTTCTAAATTATTTTGGGTCAAGGACAAGATAACACTGACCCACAACAATGCTTCTACCTATTACTAATGCAATTTCATTCACAGCTATAAGAATCTGAGATTGTGAAAATTTCAGCACTTTAGTTTCCAGAAAACAAAAGCCACTTTAAAAAACCTAGAAAACCCACTTAAAAACACTTATTTTGGGGGGGAAATTCTCTGGAGAATTTCAAACTATTGCTAAAATATTGCTATTATAACACCCATTATTTTCTCTGCACATGTGCCCACATGCACACACACACACACACACATACACAGTATAACACCAGAAATCAGTTATCCGATACTCTCGATAACCAGGAAATAAGTACACAAAGGCTATAGGGTCAAAATATTTGCAGGAAAAACAATGCACTTAGTTTTCTTATTTTTTCCAATGCATTTAGTTTTAAAATAAAAAGCACGTCTTCATTTAGAGGCTGTATTTTATATACTTATTTTATATACTTTTATAAACAGCCTAGCTACATAGCATATGAGCTTGCCATTTTATATACTAAAAGCCTGTGGAAAGTACTTCTAACAGAAACATTAGTAACAGTAAGAAATAATTGGGAGTAATAAGAGAGCAAAGGAGATAGATATTTTTATAAAATTTATTCATAAAAACTGAAAAATAGGAGCCTAGAGTTAATTTAGTGGAGAAATACATAGACGATAGCTCAAAAATAGCTCATCTCTCTATTAAAACTGATGTTTATGCTGATGACTAAACAAGTTAAATTCTGCATGTATTATTTAATTTAAGAAGGTATGTAATCTACTTTAGAAAGATATTTTATATTTTATCTATATTTTTAATTTACATCTCTGGTGTATGCTCAGCTAAACGAAATACTCATTTTGGGCTGTTAAAAGTGATTTAAGTGATAACAAATCAGTCTTTGGAATACCTAACTTTGAGACTCCATTCTGTTTTCAGCATCATTCTCATACTTTGTTTATATAAAATAGCACTCTCAAATAACTTCAGTTTTAGCACTCATCCTAGGTCTAGTCTCCAGTTCTATCATCACTGCCTGACCATGCAGCCTACTTGATACAAGCCATCTGGTGAAGTTTAATATGAAAAGTGAAAAGCCAAGAGGGTAAGACAGAGGCAGAGTGAATGTGATTTTGGGTACCTGACCATATAGCAGGAGAGGCACAGTTACAACAACAGTAGAAAGACTCAAATTACCTTTCCATACTTCTGGGCATAGGATCCAGTAAGAAGAGAGTGGAAGATGATGATGGTTTCATCCAAGTCCCACAGAAATACCCGCTGAGAGAGGAAAATATAAAAAATAATGAGTGAACATCTTTTCCAATCACAATGAAATGAATCAAGAAATCAATAACAGAAAGAAAACTAGAAAATTCACCAACATGTGAAAATTAATATAAGCTTATATAACCAAAAATCAAAGAAGAAATCACAAGTGAAATTAGAAAATACCTTGAGATGAATGAAAATAAAGATACAACAAAACAAAATTTGTGGAATGCAGCAAAAGCAGTGCAAAGAGAGAAATTTACAGCAGTAATCTAACTATACAACTTAATGAACTAGGAAAAGCCAGCAGAAGGAAGGAAATAATAAAGTTAGAATGGAGATAAAGCAGAGAAAGCATAGAGAAAAATCAATGAAACTAAAAGTTCATTCTTTGAAAGATCTATAGAATTGGCAACTTTCAGTTAGACTAAGAAAAAAAGAAGAGTCAAATTTCTAAAATCAGAAACAAACATATTACTGGTTTTACAGAATTAAAAAGGATAAGAGAATACTATGAGTACTTGTACACCGACAAATAACCTAGATGAAATGGACAAATTTCTAGAAATAAAGTGCCAAAACTGACGCAAGAAATAGAAATTCTAAATAAACCTTTCAGTGGTAAGGTGGTTTAATCAGTAATCCAAAATATCCCCCAAAAGTAAAGCCCAGGATCAGATGGCTTCTGTGGTAAATACCACCAAAAATTTAAAGAAAAATTAATACCAATACTTTCTAATCTCTTCCAAAAAGCTGAAGAGGAGAGAACACTTCCTAACTCACTCAAAGAAGCTAGCATTACCCTGATACTAAAGTTAGATAGGAAAACTTATTTTGCATCAATGTTCATAAGTATGAACATACTTATGCAAAATCCTCAACAAAATACTAGCAAACAAAATTTGGCAGCTTAATAAAAAAAAATAAATCATGACTAAATGGGATTTGTTTCCAGCATATAAGGATGGATCAACATATAAGAATGAATGAATGTAATAAAGTGCATTAATAGAATAGAGGGGAAAAAACTCACACAGTCATCTTAATTGATGCAGAAAAAGCATGTAACAAATCAACACACTTTCATGATAAAAATACTCAATAAACTAGGAATAAAAGTAACTTCCTGAACACAATAAAGGTCATATTTAAAAAACCTACAGCTAACATCATACGCAATGGTGAAAGACTGGAAGCTTTACTCCTGAGATCAGAAATAAGATAAGCATACCTGTTTTCACCACTTCTATTCAACACAGTATTGGAAATTCTAGCCCGAATAATTCGGCAAGAAAAGGAAAAAAAGTATCCAATTGGAAAGGAAGAATTAAAATTATGTTTGCAAATGACATAATCTTATATGTAGAAAACACTAAAGAACCCACAAAAAATTGTTAGAGCTAATAAATGAATTCAGAAATCAGCTGTATTTCTATACACTTACAATGAATAATCTTAACAGGAATTTAAAGACCAATTCCATTTACAATAGCATCAAAAGTAATAAAATACTTAGTAATAAATCTAACTGAGGAGGTGAAAGACTCATACGCTGAAAACTATAAAACACTGCTGAAACAAATCAAAGATGAGACCTAAAAAAAATGGAAAGACATCCCACGTTCATGGATGGAAGACTCAGCATTGTTAAGATGATACTACTGAAAGCAATCTATAAAATCAATGCAACTCTATTAAAAACCCAACAGTGTTTTTTTAAAGAAATACAAAAACACATTCTAAAATTCACATGAAATCTCAAGGGTTCCCCAATAGTCAAAATAATCTTAAAAAAGAACAAAGCTGGAAGATTCACACTTCCTGATTAATAAACTTAAAACAAAGCTACAGTAATCAAAACAATGTGATATGAGCATAAGGATAGCCACATAGGCCAATGAAATAGAAGAGAGAGCCCAGAAATAAACCCTGACATACATGGTCAATTGATTTTTTTGAGAGAGATACCCAGACCATTGAATAGGGGAAAGGTAGTTCTTTCCAACAAGTGCTGGAAAAATCATATAACCATGTGCAAAAGAATGAAATCAGAGCCTTACTTTACACCATATACAAAAATTAACTCAATGTGGATCAAAGATCAAAATTTAAGAGCTAAAACAATAAAACTCTCAGGAGAAAACATAGGTGAATATCTTCATAACCTTGTAGTCTTAGGTATAATACCAAAAGCACAAGCAATAAAAGAAAAATAGAACTTTATCAAAATTTAAAACTTTTGTTTATCAAAGGATACCATCAAGAGAATACAAAGACAATCCACGGAATGGGAGAAAATAAATATCATATATAAGGGATTGATATCTGGAATATATAAAGAACTCCTAAAACAACAATAAAAAAACAAAGAACCCAATTAAAAAATGGGCAAGGGATTTGAACAGACATTTCTCCAAAGGAAAATACACAAGTGGCTGATAAACAGATGAAAAGATTTTCAATATTATCAGTAATTAAAGAAATGAAATACCACTTCACATCCATTAGCTATTATCAAAAATATGGGAAATAAGTTTTGGTGAGGATGTGGAGAAACTGCTGCATTGCTGGTGGGAAGGTAAAATGGTGTACCCATTATAAAAAACACTTTGGTGGTTCCTCAAAAAGTTGAACCTATGGTAAATATGATCCATCAAGTCTACTCCTACGTTTATACCCAAAATATCTGAATAGAGGGACTCAAACAGATATCTGTAATGCTCATGGCAGTATTATTCACAATAGCTCAAAGGTGAAAAAACCCCAGTGTCCATCAATGGATGAACGAATAAACAAAACGTGGTATAGACATAATGTGGAATATTATTCAGCCATAAAAAGGAATGAAGTTGTAATGCATGTTACAACATGATGAACCTTGAAAACACTGAAATAAGTCTGACACAAAAGGACAGATATGTTTGAGTCCACTTTTGAGATATCTAAAATAGGCAAATTCAAAGAGACAGAAAGTAGAATAGAGGTTCCTGGGGGCTAGTACAAGCTGAGAATGGGGAGTTATTGCTTACTGGGTGCAGAGTGTTTAGGATCATAAAAAAGTTCTAGAAATAGGGGTAACAATTAAACAACACTGTGAATATATTTAATGCCAATGAATTACACACTTAAAAAATGGTAAACATTATGTTATATTTTACCACAATTTAAAAAAAATGAGTGTGTTCTCAGTTTTTCCCAGGAAATATATCAGAATTTTACATTTTCTTTCTTTCTATTTTGCCCCCTAAGAACAAAGGCGAAGAGAGGCTTCAAATCCAGCCTCAATTTACCTATGTCTCAAGAACACCTATCAATGGACTCATTTTTAAATGCAATTTTCCCTCTTATTAAATAATTATATTATACAAAAACTGAAAACAAGAAAACAAAAAGATTAATGTCAAAACTTCATTATTATTTGTATTTTGTATGAATTCCTAGTCTTTTAAATAATGAAGCAAAATGAATGCCCATAGTAAATTCCTACAGTGCTTAACCACATTATAAATTAGTGTAAATCTCATTAATAAGTTATCAGATCTGGTTGCATGTTTCACAGAAACTTGGCCTAAAGCACCCTAGTCCTCTCATTTTGAGATTTTTAAATGGAGAATAGCATGCATTACTTGTGACACCACCCTCTGCTTTATGAATATGATGCATTGTTCTTTCTGTTCTCCTCTGGAATATAGAGAACAGTTTGTTCTTTCCCTTAAAAAGTTATCTGGCTACCCAAACCCAGAAAAACTTTTCTGAAGCTTTTGGTAAAAGCATCTTAAGTGATATGGTAAGTTATGAGCATAGAGAAGTGTGTTTTTACATTTCTCTTTTCACTTGGCCAAATCAGTTTCTCTTGCCCAGGAATTAAAGGGCATACAACACAGAACCATAGTATCTCATGAGTTTCAGACATGTTTGATAAACTTAAGAAATGAGGAAAAAAAAAAAAAAGTAGGTCTCTCAAATGAGTCTCTTCTCATACTTCCAATTCATTATCCTGTGAAGAGCTTGCATCAGCTTTCCTCTTGCCCCGGTTCTTGCTAGTCATGTTTTTCCTGGCCTGGTCATCAGCATCTTTACTTGATGTAGTCTGAGACAAAGATGGGCTTGTAGAAGGGTCTCCTGGAAAGAAAAAGCAAGACATTTATTGTGAGTAGTCACAGGCTGCAAGAACCAGATGCAGGAAGAGGGTCAGCAGGTTCTCTGCTCTTAAGAATCATATTGCAGGGATGAAAAATGGAAAACCAAACTTTATCTAAGCAATTTAGGAATGTAGACCTAAGCATTGAGCATCGACAGCTCATAAGATCACAAAGAGAGTTATAACTAAACTTTATACGCCTGCCTCCCCATGAAAGAACACATCTATGAAGTTGTTTTGCTGCCCCACCTTGCCCATTGAACCTGAATCTGATCAAGCTTCTAGATCAGTTTCTCAACTTGGCACAACTGACATTTTGGGTCAGATCATTTTTATTGTGAGGGGCTGTTCTATGCATTGTAGGATGCAGGTTAAGCAGTATCCTTGGGCTCTACCCACTAGATGCCATTAGCAACGCCACAGTGTGACAACCAAAAAATATTTCCATATGTTGACAAATGTCTAATGGATAGAGGGGTGCACAGTGTGAAATTGCCTCTACTTGGAAAAGGCTGTCTAGATCCATTTACCAATTTAAAAAAATATACAGAAGGCAGCAGAACATGTTACACTTCCCTATGAAGATATAATCAGCAAAATACAGACTGGGAAATGGTATGGGATAAACAACTCTGTTTTTTCAACAAATAAAGTATGAGGGAGAATTTATAAAAGGAATGGGAGAATTTACAAAAGAGATATCTACCAATCACAATGCACGGACCTTACATGGATTCTAATTTAAACAAACTGTAAAATGGAAAAAAAAAAACCTCCTAATGTTTATGAGAAAACTGGAAATGTGAATACCTTTTGGTATTTTATGATATTAAGGAATTACTGTTGAATTATTTTAGATGGGATAATGAAACTGTGGTTATGTTAACAGGTATTTATCTTTCAGAGATCCAATGTCTGGAATTTAGGGAGGGAATTAGATGAAGTACAGTTGGAACAAGCTTGCCAATGAGTTCTTAATTATTGAAGATGAATGATGGAATAATAAACGTTCATTGTACTATTCTGACAACTTTTATGTCTGAAATTCTCTATGATTAAAAAGTTAAAATTGTTATAATGAACAAAGATATTTAGAGAAATAAATTCAAAACTAAGGCATGTAATAATTTCATGTACATGTAATAATTTCAAAGTTATGTTAAGTCTGAAGCAGTGACTATCTGTATGTCCATTTACTTAGAAGACTGGCAAAGGCAAGATGCACAGAAAACTGCTTTAGTTGATGTAAAGCACTGTTTTTAAAAATGTGTCAGTGCTAATAACAATAAAGTTTTTCCTCATGTTACATGAAATGACAGCAAACCACCAAATTTTCATAGAAAACAGAGATCAATAAAAAGTGTATGTATGTTTATTGCATGTGTGTATAAAATCTTGTCAGGTTTTGTTTGTTCTTTTTTTTTTAACCTGGGCATCGTAATTCATAGATACATTTCAAAGCTAAATATAGATTTAAACTTGTTAAATTTTATGTATTTCTTTGGGGGTAAAGGACTATAGCTTTCTTCAGAATCTTAAAGGTACCCACAACACAGAAAAAGTTAAGAACTACTTACTGCTTTGAGGCTGAGCGGAAATCCAAAATATGCATAAACTAAAAGTGGAGTCATCCAACTTTCATAAAATATGCCATGATTCTAAAGTTCCCTGTGACAATCATGTTAAAGCTACAGGGAGGGCGGAGTGGGAATCATAAATACAGTCTTTTCATTCTTGGTATTTTTCTGTTCACAGCATCAGGTATGACACTTAGACTGTCACTGACTCATCACAGTCTGGTTCCAATGTTTAAATACTTCTAAGAGGGAAAGTCAATAGCATGGTAACAGCAACTTAGACCAGAACAAAATAATCTTCGCCATTGCTTGTTGGATGAAGTGCCCTTAAGCCAAAGTTTTTAGAGCTGTGGTGCTTACCAGAGGAAAGTCTCTGTGCTACAGGCGCAGGTACCATGACACTAGGCTTCTCCGTCTGGTATGCGGTTGCTGCTAATGGGGTACTCTCAGCATCACTGTTAGTTTGGCCTGTGACTCCAAAGCTGGAGCTGGGGTAGCAGGCCTGGTACTGATTCTGACCAAGGATAGTGTAGGTGGGATAGTCCTGCAGGCCAAAGGGAATTAGGGAGGAAAATAAGAATCTTTAAAAAAGCGTAATATTAATTTCAACACAAGAGACTTCCATGTCCCTCTTATTCATAATTATTTTCCTAAAACATTAATCTGACTTCTCATTTACCTGTCTATATCTTCCACTTAAACTAATGATTTTCAAAATACTTTCTGTTGGAAACCTAAAAGTCAAGAGGAACTGTCTCAAAGGTGGTCTTTGGAATAAGGAGAAGGTGAAGAGGGAAGGGTCCCATGCACTCTACATACAATGTCCCTTTTTCTACTACGACAGCTCTTTTTTTTTTCTTTCTATTTTATGTACTGAATTTCTGGGCAAGTCTCTGCATGGAATTCTTGAAGGAAAAATTCTACTCTTTAAGAAGTTTATAAACCACTGCACTACATGGTAGTATTTCTAAGGACGGAAGAGCTTAAACAAAAAATAACATCTTACATTTAAAGTTTCCTAGTTGAAAAACTGAATATCTCTTTCTTTTTAAAATAATCAAGTTTTCTTTAAAAATGAAGTTTCTTTAAAATATTCTGAAGGAACTTTTGGTGGTTTCATGGGCACATACATGTCAAAACTTATCAAATTGTACAATTTAAATCTGTGCAGTTTATTGTATGTCAATTATACCTTAATCCAGCTGGAATAAAATGGGTATGATATACAGCTCAAAAACACACCTTAAAAAATTGCACTGATACTAATGTTGATGACAAGTACAAAGCAGCTAACAGATGAGACCCATTATTTATAGAGTACTGAGCATCTACCACGAGTGAAATATAATTCACAGTGGTGTGTGTGTGTGTGCGCGCACACATGCGTGTGTGTATGTGTATGTGTGTGTGTGGTTATGCATAAGTAAGAAAAGGGAATATTAAAGAGAAGAATAAGTCATACTAGCTACACGAAAGAGTGAAAAATTTAGCAGGAGAGAAGACAAAAAAAATTCCAACAAATTCACAATAAATTACATGTCAAATAAGTACCATACAAAGGAAGACAACTATCACTGAAGCTTTTGGCAGTCAGGGAGCTTTCTGAGATAAAAAGGCAGAAAAGGTAAGAATATGAATAGGCTCTGAAAAGGTTTTATGAAGGCACCAGAGAGGCTGAGTCTGATTGAAAGAAAAGATCTGTGTAGGCCTGAATGATTGGTTAAGGAACATGACTTGGATTCTTTAGGAAATGGTGTATAGCTTATGTGGGGGCAAGATGTAGAGACTATTGAATTCAAACCAACAAATAAAAATGCAAAAATATTTATGAGCAAGTGAGTGACAGGATAAAAACTGGCATTTAGAGAAAATTATGTTTTAGAAAATGGACAGAAATACCAAAAAAACAAGAGATGAGATGAACAGTTAAATATAGTAATTCAGGATTAAAGAGGAAAAAAGTTAAAACATGGGAAATGATAGCAAAAATGAAAAAGAATAAATTCTAGAAATAGCTGGATTAGGGATGAGTGAGAGAAAAAAACCTAAAGATGACTGGTCTTATTTTGGGCTAGGTTTCTTTTAAAATGGTGTCATATTGACAAGAATTGAGAAGGCATAGGGAAAAGTGGTTTTACTTTTGGAGGGCAAGGAGACAGAAGAAAGGGTGGAATGAAAGGCTGGTTTTAGCTT